GAACAGACCTCTAATTCAATGCTCTGTGTCCATGTCTCACATGTGTTCAAGTGTGTGTGTGTGTGTGTGTGTGCCGGTCTTCATACTTTCTTGTTTTTTCAGGCGTTGTTCTTACAGAACAGGTCAGGACATCAACAACTGCTCAACCTGCCAGAAAACAGCCTGCATTATATACAGGTAAACATCACCCCATCAGTCCACTTATGTCTATCATGTCACATTTTAGCCTTTTATGACCATTTTTACAATTTTACAATTAAACAGGCTGATTCTGCTACTGTACTATATGCAAATGACCTCTGCTGTGAATGGCTAACCTTAACATTAACAACAGATACGGTACGAGTACTCAGAACTGACGCAAACATGCAAAACATATTAATTGCATGACTTTTATCAACATCAAGCATTTCACACTTATCAAAGCCCAGCAACAACCACATGCAAAAATGCCAAATTGGAGCCTTTTATAATTTTGTGATTTCTTTTGGAGTGGCATTTTTGCTATTATTATGGTTATAGGCTGACAAAACCTCACTTTACACGGTGACTCTTCAGACTTTCAGCAACAGCGCTCAATGCTGCACAGAGAGTATTAACGGGTGTCACACAGGACATGCTGTGCTAAAAAACAGGTCGACGGTGACTGAATAGAGCAGAACACTGGAGTCTAAAAGCTATGTTAAAAATGCAACACTCGTGCAGAGAGATGCAATGCAACATCTGAGACATCTGTCTGATGCAGATGTACTGTACATAGTATAGATCAACTATAGTATGTTGAAGGCATGTAGTAGATTGTGTGTGACAGGTTTATCAGCAACATTTTGATCATGTTGATCATTTAGGGTTAAACTAAAACAGGGTTAAAACTCTACTCAAAAGAGCAAGAAAATCCATTTTCCATGACCCATTTAAAATATTATAAATTGTGTGCAGAGCCACATCTGAGTTATGTGTCTTCTGGGGGGCAGAAACAGACAGAAATTCACCAGGAAAACATGAGAATGATTTAAGAGTTGCATCAATATCCTACAGCAGATCAAAACATCTGACGGTCAGCAGAAACATATGAGCATCTACTCTAGGGAGGAAACAGACTGTTTCAGTCTTAATTGGTGCCTCTTGCTAAATCAAGCATCATTATTACTATTTATCATAGACTCAGAAAAAAGGAGAAATCTTTAAGCAGGCAGTTAAATAGATGAGTGTGTGCTTTTGTAGGAGTGTGATGTATTTATTAGTGTCAGCTGTTTGTATGTTTGTTATAATCAAGGGACAGTGAGCTCAAGCTCCCATTCAACTGTAATGAAGCCCTGAGGGACACACACACACACGCATACACACACAAACACACACATATCATAAAGCCAGAGAAAACTGTGAACCTGTGCGATATCCCTCCTGTCACACAAACACACACACATATGAAATTCCCTCGACTCCGTTATCTCTCTTCCTTTCTTTCCTGTTGGGATAAACAGGATCATTATTCCCATACTATGAAGAGCTAATCCTTCTCCGTGACTTGATGCCTCGTCCTCAAGGGACGAAGAAAATTTGAGATGGGATTGGTTATAATGCTCTTTACAAAACAGAAATGCACAACACTTTCTTTGCCCGTGCAAAGCTCAGGTGGCCGCTCAGCAGTTACAAGCCCGAAACAAATGATCCTCTCAATGAATCATTTATGTCTTTAGCAAAAACGTTATGCGACAAAGTTTAATACTTAGAGTTAAAGATCTCACTAACACAGAGTTCGACCAATAATAATAGACCAACAATAATAGCAATAAAAATAGCAATGCAAGCACTACTGATGACAAAAACAATATAATGAAAACTGAAGTAATGATGCTGAAAATTCAGCTTTGATCAAAGGAATAATTTAGTTTTTTTTAATATTCAGATAGAAAATATTTATTTTAAATTGTAATAATATTTCACAATTTTACTGATTTTACTGTATTTGTAATCAAATAAATGCAGCCTTGTGAGCAGAAGAGACTTCTTTCAAGAACATTATATGGTGGATCTCTCTTTTGGAATTTTGGCTATTAAACATGATTTTTTTTTTTTTTTTAAGTCCCAGAGCAGAAGCAGCTGCAATGATTTAACTCCAGAGCTCACAGTCGGTGTCTCTTGAAATGTTTATATATTACCATTAAAAATCAATCTTTCAATGGAAAAAAATGAAAGAGACTTTTATTTCCAGAACCCGACTGCTGTGCTGTGAAACTTGTAAGAAAGTGAGATAAATGACGAATTGAGCAGAAGGAAATAGAGAGCGACAAACAGAAAGACAGAGTGAGAGTTTGAAGAATGTTTCTCTGTTTATGTGTCGGTTTGTCTTTAGTTTTGTGTCATATTGTCTTAATGTTAATTTCTATGTCCTAATGTATGATCTGCCAAAACAGATGATGAAAAGGGTGTTTTTGTTTTTTTTCTCTCTTTCATTAGGCACATACTTTATTCACAAAAAACAAGATATATATATATATATATATATATATATAAAACTTTAGCTGTAATTACTGCAAATTATAGAAATTATTCCTTAATAACACAACATCAATATTATCAAAATTTCTATCTTGTTTCCCTATGTTTTAAAGTATCCTATATTTGCAAGCATTTGCAAGCTATATTACATTTATATTTATATTTTACATTATGACCTTAAAAACAAAAATAAATTACATTCACAATGCATTTAACTTCTGTAACATTGTTGTTGTTGTTGTTTTTACTCTTGCTTTCTCCTTTTTCTCATCAAAAAAATACAAATAAAAAATGACTCATCCTCAGGCCATTCAAGATGTAGATGAGTTTGTTTCTTCATGGGAACAGATTTGGAGAAATGTAGCATTACATCACTTGCTCAGCAATGGATCACCTGCAGTGAATGGGTGCCGTCAGAATGAGAGTCCAAACAGCTGATAAACACATCACAATAATCCACAAGTAATTGACACCATTCCATTCCAGTCATGTCTTGTGACTTGAAAAGTTGTGTTTGTAAGAAACAAATACATCATTACGATGTTTTATGAATCCTCTATCCATAATATTGCTTCCTCCAGTGAAAAAGTAATCTCGCCTGAATCATGAGGGAAATATGCACAGATGGAGCACAAAAACAGTTCTAAACAAACATGTTGGAAGTCCAGAATCCATAATAACGCTTCCTCCAGTGAAATAGTCTGTCCAACTCTCCTCTCACGTCAAAATCTACACACATTTGTTAACTTTTTTGGAAAATTTTCACTTGTAAACGGTGCTTTATCTGTGCATATTTCTCTCCTCATTCAGACGAGACTACTTTTTTTTTACTGGAGAAAGCATTATTTTGGCCAGAAGCAACAGTTTGAAGTTAAAAACTTCTTAAAAATGTATTCATTTCACACAAACATGCAGCTTTTCACTTGACAAGACATTAACTGATGAGTGGACTGGAGTGGTGTGGATTATTGTGATGTTTTTATCAGCTCTCATTCTGACGGCACCCATTCACTGCAGAGGATCCATTGGTGAGCAAGTGATATAAGGCTACATTTCTCCAAATCTGTTCTGATGAAGAAACAAACTAATCTACATCTTGGACAGCCTGAGGATGAGTACATTTTCTGCAAATTTAAATTTTTAGTGTGAACTATTCCTTTAATTGAAATCAATCAGTTGGAAGCAATCACTCACTCTATTTCAGTAAGGATACTGCCTATTTTAGGCAGCTCACTAGGTGTTGAAACAGAGCTTAAATGTATTAATGTATTAATTGAATTCAAAAGTTTAAAGTTCTAAAATTATCAACTTTCAGTGTGATTCTAGAAGCAAAAACAAGAGAGAAAGTGTGACTAAAGTGGCTGTTCATACCAAACATTCTTGTATTACATCTGCGCCATTTTTAGTTGTACATACAGTATGTACATGTACATAAACATGTATTTTTAAAACGCTGTGTCAAATTAAAAGAAGTTACATTTTTCAAAAACCATATCACATTTGGTTCCCTTGGGCCATTTTCAGATGCATGTGAATGGCCCCGTGTCTCATCAAAATGACCATAATTACTAAATGAGACCCTACTCAGAATTATTCAGTTTCTCAGAATCAGAAATGATTCATTTCTATGGCAACACTCAATGCCAAAATTACTGCAAATTGCTGCATAACATCAAAATGGCAGCATCTCCAGCTTTACTCACGATGAAAGAAAAAATAATGAATCACTACATTAATTTACCTCCATATTCTCAGTGAATGTGCATCAGGAAACTTAACAAAACAATAGTAAAGATAATATATGTCTAGAGGTACAGCAGCTGTTGAAGCTGCTGCCGGTTTTAGCCAGAGTTTTCATTAAATTGTGAGTTTCTGAGTTTCTGACAAAAACATGGGCAGGTTTTACTACTTGGAGACTGGTAATTATGGTCATTTCACCATGACATGAAAGTCCTATTAATGCAACATGGATGCAACCGCTAATTTCCTCACAAACCCGTAAGACTGAATTTAAAGTGTAAATGTTTGATGTTCTCCCAGACATTGTAGCTTTAATGTTTAGATTCATTATGAATTCACAAACACTGATACATTTTTCTCTATCATTCACACCTTCTTACATACAGCTTCCTAGAGTACGAACACACACGCTGGTTCAAACGCACGTCTTCCACTCCGTATCTGTCCTGTATTCATGTCCAGACTTGAAAATATACAGTATATACATATAAATATATAAAATAACAAATATTATAATCAATGTATTTTTATACGCCGATATTCTGATAGTCTAAGACTACATTTCCCACAGTGCACTTCTTCTTCCTCCCTCCACTTGTTTGTAATTGAGATATTTAAGATGACGTCAATAAAATCGTGTATTTTAATGCAGTAAATGTTTCTGGTCTGGTCTAAGTATGAGCAATAATAATAACGATATTTGACTTAAAAGAGAGAAAAGGACAATGAAAGGAGATGATCTAGTGGTTTAAACTCACGATGAGAGCGTGTTCTCTGCCCATCGTGATGACTGTGCGGTTTATCGTCCTCAGCAGAAACGACACAATGTCCTGAATGTGCTGAAATGTGTCTCCCTGGAAGAGAAAGAGACAAAACGCTTGTTATTTGTATTCTAGCGCTGAACCCACTGCATCCAAACGGTCAAAGATTTTCTCATCAAGTCGCCCAATTAAAACACAAACACACAGAATGACTCTTGGGTTTTCACCTCAGCATTCCGTTTATAAGCTACAAATCTTCGATGAATAGCAGACAAAATTTCTATCATCATAACCAGATATTTTTCATACAAATGAAAGTGAACCAAGGCTGTTAGGTAAGATTTTTAAGGTTTTCAGTAAATAGCTATTTAAATTTGAGTTGATTTCTTAAATAAACATAAAAGAAGATTTGGATTAAGTCATACTGTTATGATATTTTTATGCTGCCTTTTGTCATTTGTGGAGCTTTACATCTCTTGTTAATTTGCATAGAAAAGAGCAGCATGATATGATGAGTTAATGCTTATAGAATTTACCTTTTTTTAGTTAACCATTCCTTAAATCGTGCAAATGAAGAGTGAAATGTGTGATTTTGTTTTAGTTGCAGGTCTGGTCTCTCTGGCTCCATCACATTAATTTATTGTTTAAATGTATTGATTAGACTGAAGAGATCTGGAACAGGCCAGATGTGTGTGTGTGTGTGTGTGTGTGTGTGTGTGTGTGTGGTCAACTAAAGGCCTTTAATTTAATTTTTTTTTAAATCAGTTCTGAGAAAACCCATCTGGACCCAAAAATGGCCAATTTCTATAAAAGTCAACTTAAATCTTAATACATGTTCCTGGCCTTATCCCATACAATTCAGGATTTTACTCCAAATACAGAAAAATGTATCTCTGAATAACCTTGAATTCAATTGTAATAATTTGCTAAATGCACTGGCACATCTAATGACATCACAGCAAGTAAACAAATAAAGAATGCAAATAGTTTTTAGTAAGTGATATTAAGATGAAATAAAATATATACATCAGATGAAAAACAGTACTAAAACTACTAAACTTAAATCTGAAAATAAAGTATTTACAAATGAATTAAAAATATCACAAACACATAACAAAATAACTAACTTGAATACATTTAGTTAAAAAAATTGTTTAAAATAACAAACAGTGAAATAAAAATAAATGTATAAAATGTAAAGCATATTTATAAAATATATATTTATAAAATCACATAAGCACATAAGAAAATAATTAAAACTTAAATTAAAATGTAAACTGAAAATATAAAACTAAAAGCTAATTCAAATATTAATAAATACTATAATAGTAAATAATACTAAAAGGGCACTGGATGACTGGTGGTATTAGTCTCTCTTCTACTTCCTCCTCATGAGCGAGCAGGTTAAGTTTCTGAACAACCGACATCATTGGTGTGCAAGCATGGATGATGAAAACCCTTCATCACAACATCTTCTGTCTGTGTGTGAGAATCAGCCTACAGGAAAATGACGTGTGTGTGTGTGTGTGTGTGTGTGTGTGTGTGTACTGGTTTGTTTAAAATAACAAACAGTGAAATAAAAATAAATGTATAAAATGTAAAGCATATTTATAAAATATATATTTATAAAATCACATAAGCACATAAGAAAATAATTAAAACTTAAATTAAAATGTAAACTGAAAATATAAAACTAAAAGCTAATTCAAATATTAATAAATACTATAATAGTAAATAATACTAAAAGGGCACTGGATGACTGGTGGTATTAGTCTCTCTTCTACTTCCTCCTCATGAGCGAGCAGGTTAAGTTTCTGAACAACCGACATCATTGGTGTGCAAGCATGGATGATGAAAACCCTTCATCACAACATCTTCTGTCTGTGTGTGGGAATCAGCCTACAGGAAAATGACGTGTGTGTGTGTGTGTGTACTGGTTTATATATCCTGGTGGGGACTTAAACCTGACTACACACAGACTCATGGGGGCTCGTGTCATGGGGGCGACCTAAATTGTGGTCCCCACGGGTACAAAAGCTTATAAATCATACAGAATTAAGTTTTTTGAAAATCTAAAAATGCAGAAAGTTTCCTGTGAGGGGTAGGTTTAGGGGTAGGGTTGGTGCAGGGCAATAGAATATACGGTCTGTACAGTAGAAAAACCATTACACCTATGGAGAGTCCCCACAAGGATAGCTGACCAGCTGTGTGTGTGTGTGTGTGTGTGTGTATACCACCCCCTCACAAATGATGCAGAGGCGGATAAAGTGAGGGATTGAGTGAGAGAGAAACATCTGTTCATCTCTACATAGAGTATTTCATTTCATATTGTGTTTCTCAACGTCAACATCTCTTGACTTCAGCTGCTGCCACAAACACACTCTCTCTCTCTCTATGGGGTTTCTGTCTCTTCTCCTTTATCGTCATCAGTCTCATTCTTTCTCAGTGGTCAGTGGATGATGGCTTAATCAGGTACACCTATAATCCCTGTGAAGCCTGTGTGTGTGTGTGTGTGTGTGTGGATGCAGATATCTGTGGCACCTGTGGCCTGTCATACGGTACAGTTTCCATTACTCTTTCTCTCTATCCACAAAACTGCTCCCTCATTGGTCTCACATCACACTTGTGAATCTTACGAAACATGTAGAGAGCATGTCTAGCTCTATACCACCCCCTCACAAATGATGCAGAGGCGGATAAAATGAGGGATTGAGTGAGAGAGAAACATCTGTTCATCTCTACATAGAGTATTTCATTTCATATTGTGTTTCTCAACGTCAACATCTCTTGACTTCAGCTGCTGCCACAAACACACTCTCTCTCTCTCTATGGGGTTTCTGTCTCTTCTCCTTTATCGTCATCAGTCTCATTCTTTCTCAGTGGTCAGTGGATGATGGCTTAATCAGGTACACCTATAATCCCTGTGAAGCCTGTGTGTGTGTGTGTGTGTGTGTGGATGCAGATAACTGTGGCACCTGTGGCCTGTCATACGGTACAGTTTCCATTACTCTTTCTCTCTATCCACAAAACTGCTCCCTCATTGGTCTCACATCACACTTGTGAATCTTACGAAACATGTAGAGAGCATGTCTAGCTCATAATTCATTTTACTCCAGTATTTGAGGCAAATGTTGCCATGATTTAATGCAAAACCAAGCAATAATTAAAGAATAAATAAATAAATACTATTTTAAAGTTTATGCATTAAATCATTATTTTCATGACAACTTTTGCCGCAAATAATAATTAAAATAATGTGTAAAAACATTTAAATTCTGAAGAATCAATCATCATGGTAGTATTTGATGTGTTGCCTATAAATTATGCTGATTTAAATAAACAGTCATTACAGTAATTAGAATCTAATGAAAATCAACAAAGAAATTATTTAAAATAGCAAACAAACTCAATTATTGTTGGGCTTGTTTACATTTCATATATTCTAGGGCTGTCAGCCGATTACAATTTTTTATCTAATTAATTACATGATGTTTCAATTAATTAATCTAATTAATCGCAAAATAAATTTGACTGTGAAAATACCCACAAAAGTGTATTTTTGTGTTAAATGAGAAAGTATCAAGTAGACATTACAAATTGTAGCTTTAAAAATAAATATTTTACTTGATTCAACATCAGATTTATTACACAAACATTTAGGCTGCAACGTAAACTATGGAACATAAAAGAAGATCATTTGAGAAACATCTCAGTATTTTTTTGTTCATACAATGAAAGTCAGTGGTAACCAAAACAGCTTTGTACCAACAGTCTTCAGAATACCTTATTTTATGTTCCACAAAAGAAAGGTTTGAAACGACATGAGGGTGAGTAAATGATGACAGAATAAAAAGTTTTTGGGTGAACTATCCCTTTAATGTGTTTATTTTTATTATTTTTTTCTATGAAATGATACTCTACATAACAAACTAAATCTGCCAGCAGGTGGCGGTAAATGTCTTTATGAGTCATTCATTCATTTGATCTGCTGATTCATTCAGGAATGAAGTAAAGGGCTCTCTTTATGAAAGTGCCTTTGAATCATTGATTCACACGATTCATTCAAAACGCGGATTTATTCAGAAACTAAACACCGCTGTGTTGCTCGGAGACGCATAACAATTCTGCTGTAGCTTTGAAGATAATATGTTCTCTGCTAAATTGAGCAAAAACATAATATTATGTTTAAAATATAACACAATATTAACTTCTTATTTACTGACCTTGTATAAAATCACACTTAAGCTCGTGATCGATCGGGACAAAATCAGCAGTCCTGTGATATTGCTCTCGCTGCTGGTGTGATATCGTGTGAAATGTGATATATATATATATATATATATATACAGCATACAGCAAAACTCATACGGGGCATTTTTTGCACCAATCTTTAATTTTATCTTGAATTCAACTTTATTCAATTTTATCTTGAATATCTTGAATTTATCTGCTCCTTTTACCTGTTACGAGGTCACGACCCTGTCACATCTTCATTCTGCTCTCTCTTCTGCACTCCATCATTCTCATCAGTCGCTCATCATCATATATTATCTTGAATATCTTGAATTTTAGGGCATACCTGTATTTATGGAGTTGTTGTCCTTAGGGCTGTTGTTGTGAGGGAATTTCCCTTGCGGTAATTTTGAGTGGCTCAATAGCGTGGTATGCGGTATTATCGCCATACATAGACATATATATATATATAATTTGTGTGTGTATGTGTTACAATATAACTAACAAGGTCATATTCTGAAGACAATGAAACCGAAACCAAATAGCGTTGAAACAGGAAGTGAAGTAAACAGAAGAGAATGACAAAATAACGGTCCACTTAACAGAACATAAACCTGACAATAAGATCGTTAGGCTATCATTAGCCTATATGTATAACAGTTAGCCTAGTTGTAATCTGATTTTCTAATCTGACTGGACAAGAGACTTTCTATTGATATTTCCACCTGCGTGAGTTCTAGACGGGCTGTCAGTCAGTGCAGTTACAGTGTTGCACCACAAGGTGGTGGCTGTTATTCAACTACACGTTCAAAAACGCTGATTCATTCATTCAAAGAGACGTAATGAAACACACTGTTGAAATCATTTTAACTTTGAGCGACACTTTAGAAGGCTCAGCTGACCAGAGCGATGCTAAGACAGAGATTTCGCTTTCCTTGAACATGACAACCTATTTTCACAAATATATATGACTCGGTCTGGAGGACAGACGAAAGTAATCGCACGTGCTCAGTCGATCTCTCTCTCATTCACTGTGTCACACCCCTGTGGACTGTAGATTGTGGGTTTCTCCCTCTGTGTCCTTATTTGGTTGTTCCTGTTCTCATTATTAGTTAATCACCTCATTGTGCTCACCTGTCTGCCCCTCGTTATCCACCCTATATCAGTTCCTGTCCATTGTGTTCCAGTTTGTGAATGTTACCCTGTGCGTGTGCGCCTACCCTGTTTTGGATGTTACCCTGTTGTTGATTAAAGTGTTCGTGTATCCTTCATCTTCGTCGTCCTGCCTGTTCTCTAGCACAGCATAACCGTGACACACTGTCTGTTTAGGCTTCTTAAGTGCAAATCTACGGAGCCTCTGTACAAATCAGCGTGGTACACATTATGTTATCATAACTAACTTGTTTAATTTTCAGTCCACATGCATGGAGTGTAAAACGAGAAGGGCATAACCTTACGAAAAAAGAAAACACGCAAAAATCGCGGTTGCTGCGGTTCTTGCATTCCTCTGCGGTTTACTCGTCAATAGCGCGATATTGCGGTTATCGCAACAGTCCTAGTTGTCCTGCTTGTCAACAGTCAACTATATGAAATGTAAGATGACGTACAGGTCTGGGGGCGGGGCCAGTGCGTTAGCTGCGTTAAAATATTTTAATCACATTATTTTTTCATAACTAATTAATTAAGTTAACGTGTTAAACTGACAGCCCTAATATATTCATATATACTTTAGGATTAAAAAGTTTGTGGTTTAAAGAAAATAATAATTGTATTCGGCAATGATACAATAAATTGATCAAAAGTGACAAAGACATTTATAATCTTATTCTACCATTATTTTCACAATATTACTGATTTTACTGTGTTTTTAATCAAATAAATGTAGCCTTGGTGAGCAGAAGAGATTGCTTTCAAAAATATCACAAAATCTTACTGACCCCAAACTTCTAATATTGTTCTTGTGATTTTGGGTTGAAATATGATGTATATTCCAGCATGTATATTAGTTCATTAGATTTAGTTTCATTACATATTAGCAGGATTTTTATGGTTGCTCTTATCTTCAAATAAGTGTGTCTAAACGCGGTTTAAATGTCAAAACGACACACTCAGGAATACCTAGACAGCTTATTTCCCATCCCATAATGTTTGTGTGTGGCTCTACAAATACATGCTCTCACAGATGTTCTCTCATCTGTATTTTTAGAAGAATCGTTTGAGGTGAATAATGTTTTGAAGGCTCTCCGAGAGTTTAATTCAAACCGCAGCATGAAACATGCCCTGAGAGAGAGAAGGAGAGCGAGCGTCTTCCTCACACGTCTCTCTCCATCACTGTTTGTTTGAACTGTGAAACGCTCTCTGAATCCTGTTAAAGGAGCAGACGAGAGGTCATCACCCCGTCACATCTTCATTCTGCTCTCTCTTCTGCACTCCATCATTCTCATCAGTCGCTCATCATCATATAATCAGACGGGTCTGACCCGCTCACCTCGCCACTCCACTAAAACATAAACAGCTCTTGAAGGACATGTACGGCTTCTATTTAAGTTAAAGATGAAGTGTGACGTTAAAACTCCACACTTATAATATTCAGAGTCAACTATATTTAAGACATTCATGGGTTGACTTCCTGAAAAGTGTAAACACTGAACATGGCTCGGTTTCATTAGCATTTGTTTGCATGACTGATTGATTACCACTGAAAATAAAGGACGACATACACAGAGACAAATCAAACTCTGATGAATAACTAAAAGCCCATCTATAAAAGCAGACCCATATTAGTTTTTTACATTTTAAGAATAAAATATAATACATAATAAAAATATATATACACTATGTTATATACTATATAATATAATAGATACTGTATTACTCTCTCTCTCTCTATGTATATATATATATATATAGCAATAGTATTAATATATAGTAATATAGTAATATCATGTGTGTATGTATGTGTGCGCGTGTGTCTGTGTGTGTGTGTATATATACAGTATATATGTTTATTACTAATTACTGTCACTATTAATAACATCCAAAATAAAAGTTTTTATTTACATAATATATCTGTGTGTACTGTGTATATGTATTATGTGTATATATAAATACAAACATACACAGTATATATTTTGAAAATATTTGCATTTATCTACATATCTACATATAATTTATAGTTATATATTATTATATTTAATATATAAACGTAACATATTTTTCTTAAATATATACATGCATGGGTGTGTATTTAAATATACATAATAAAAAAATAAAAATAAAAATTTAAAAAAAATATATATATACACATACATACATACATATATAGTACCATTACTATTTAATATTTATCAATTCGTATTAACATTTAAAATGATATATAATTGTGTAAAATTTAAATATTAAGAATAATTCTTCATTAAAAAATTCGAAACATTTATATACATTTTAAATTACATAAAAATGTATATATTAATACATTTAAATCAAATAATATTATATATATTTATATAACATAATTTATCAAATATATTAAAACACACACACATTAAAAATTATTTAGCATTTTAAATGGATATAAAAATTTATATATCAAAACATTACTTACGTTCTTATAAAAATCTAATTTAATTGATATAAATTATATAAAATATTTATAACCCCACAGGCTTCTACTGGATGCGTTTTAGTATACATATTTCTTTAAAAGTATGAAATGATTTTCTGTAGTAATGAACATTATGCCACAGATGCTATGAATATATCTACACTTGTTTTGAACCCAGAAGTTCTTTAAGAGGAAGCAGCACTAGTGCTGATTTAAACAACCAAAGACTGTTTTTGTGTGAGAGCAACAATTTAGGTTAAACAGGCAGCGCTGATAAACACACGGCAGCGTCCTGACCTCCTTCATTATCTCCCTCTGTCTCCGTTTTACCACTTTCTTTGGAAGTGGAAGTTCAGGAAGTTCAGTGTCTAAGCGCATCAGCATTCAGAAAGTGAGATTAGAGCATCAGACTTCAAAGAACCGAGTGCAATCCACTGCCATTTTAGTAATTAAAAACCCGCTCAGATTTTACATCTAGGTGAGTATGTGTGTGTGTGTGTGTGTGCTTGATTAGATGCATTTTTCAAATCATAATCATAATCCTCAAAAAAGTGGAAGATCTGAATCCTCAAAATCTCAAAAACGTCTAAATGCCCAATTAAAAAGTAAAAAATAATATTTGATGTCAAACTATTAAACTCATGACGCATGATAACACACTACTCTAATCAGTATTTCTTTATATTTTATAGCAATTTTACTGTATCCATTTTTAATAGGACTGAAAAATTTTAAACAATGTTTTTTCACTATTGAATGAAATGTCTCCAGAAATCCACTGACTGTGCAGTGATTGGCTGGTGAATTAGTGTGCTGCTCTCTGATTGGCTCTTACCACATCGTTCTTGATTAGATGCATTTTTCAAATCATAATCATAATCCTCAAAAAAGTGGAAGATCTGAATCCTCAAAATCTCAAAAACTTCTAAATGCCCAATTAAAAAGTAAAAAATAATATTTGATGTCAAACTATTAAACTCATGACGCATGATAACACACTACTCTAATCAGTATTTCTTTATATTTTATAGCAATTTTACTGTATCCATTTTTAATAGGACTGAAAAATTTTAAACAATGTTTTTTCACTATTGAATGAAATGTCTCCAGAAATCCACTGACTGTGCAGTGATTGGCTGGTGAATTAGTGTGCTGCTCTCTGATTGGCTCTTACCACATCGTTTTGGCTCAGCACCTCCAGGATGTTGTTCAGAAGCTCGACGCTGTTGCGCTTCTCATCCTGAAGCCCCTCCCCCACCACGGCCAACGCCCCGCTCAGCTCCCGGAGCATCATGGGTAACAGGATGTCACGGCAGTCTGGAGATGAAAACATTACATAAAGTAAATAATATCAAAATAAATACGGAAATAAATTAAACTCATAAAATGCTACACAAAAATTCTGAATAAGAATCAGGATGGACATCAGGACATTGTGGAGAAAACAGCTTTTTGGCACATGCAAAGACTTCATCCACTCAAAAAACTAAAAGCAATTAACATATCAAATGTGTATATGTAAATTATCATAAATTAAAATAACTTATTTTAGGTGCAAATATAAGAGCAGGTGAGTGTCTTGAGGCCTGTTTGATGAAGTGTGACTGACTCTCACTCAAGCATATTTTCTTATGCCTCTTAAAATCAGCACATTAATAGCTCATTTAAACTCTGGCTCGTTACCAGCTGATTATCAACATTGATCAATCTGATTTTGCTGAGAAAGTTAAAGTCAGATAGAAAGATGAACTAAAGCAGAGCACAAATGAACCTTTCAAAAGACAATGACAATTAATTTTTCACATTTGAATACCATGTTATGTGTGTGTGTTTGTGTATGTGTGTCCATTGGTTCTTTGATGTAATATTTTTTGTACAATATTTTTTATTATTTCTCTTTTAATTTTTTTAATACTATGGTTATTTGTGATATACTAATAATAATAAATATATGATAATAAAATATATACATATACTTTTAAAACAAAAGTTCTGTGTAAAATCCTTTTTAAACCAATCCCATTTTGTCCGTTACGGGGGTTGAGAAAAAAAGGTGTCTAAATCTGAAAAAAAAAAAAGAATTATATGTAGTTCAACAAAATGTATATTCCAAGCCGAGATGTTACAGAAACCCAGGAATGACTCATATATATACTGTATATATACATATACATATATATATATATATATATATATATATATAAACAAAAACTTTATTTGTGTACCAGATTCATTGTATGCAGGTCAAAGAGCCAAAGTCTATCCAGAATGCAGCACTTCATGTACAAATGCATCAGCGTTTGCCATTGACCTGATCTTCCCACACAAGCATTCCTCTCAACACTGTCTCCCTCTCACTCTCTCTCTCTCAGAGCTCAAATGAGTCTCAGCAGGTGAGTTTCCCTCTCACAAGAGTGCAATGCATCAAGAAAAGGCAGATGAGTTTCGAGCACCGTACATCACCAGGGTTCACAGAGAAACATTTAGAGCTGTTCATCACAGTGAACGGCCAGTTTAACGTACGCTTACAGTATTGTTGCACCTTCAGTCTGGTAAATAAACGACAATCATAAACGTCGGCACTAATGCTAATTACCGAGGCAAAAGGTAATTGGATTTGTCACACTTTATGTCCCTGTGAGATAAAGAGCGATGAGAGCAAGACTCCTCAGAGGAGAGATAAATGCAGCCCTCGGGGAGAAAGAGCTAATATTGAGTGATCTGAACTCATGAAGGCTTTGCAAGTGTCGCTTTTTATAGAGTGTCCTGTTTCATCATCAATATCCCGGCCAAGAACAACAGGAAAATGTGCCGCCGAGCATTTTCTCAAGGTCAAACTGACCTTTTCACCTCCTAGACCGAAGCGGCACTCGGTGTATGTGTTTATCATTGTCATAATCCAAATTAAGCATTAAAACATGACAAACACACACAGCATCATGTGTGCATGCGCATACCATAACATTTAGAGTGACCTACACATCTAGAGTTCATGCTCGCAGCGTTTTTCGGCTGAGCAGAAATGCTTTTACATAAGAGGAAAAACCACTTACTCGACAGACTCTATATTACTGTGGACTGATCCTGGCCGAGAGCCATGCTAGCGATGGCCAAAAGTGCTTCATCTATCACTTAGATGACTTCTACAAATAATGCATTTTGACTGGAAATGAATAATGAAAAACGCGGCACATCAGTTACTCTTCTTAGAATAGTCTATTGTTTGTCTTAAACAGATCACTTTAACATCTAATCTATTTCCTGTGAGGACTGGAAAGACTTGTTTATATGATATTAAGATATTTTGAATGATATATCTTGTGTGATCAATTGTGACATGTCACAGTTTTCATGGTACTAACATGTGTTGCCAGCAGCGGTGGACAAAATACACAAGACAAGCACTTGAGTAAAAGTACAGATACCATGATAAAACATTACTCCAGTAAAAGTTTTGAGTGCTCCTTTTCAATTTTACAAAAGTACAAATGTATTTGAATTTTAATCTAATGAATTAACTGTAAATAGTACTGATCGATTAACATTTATTTTACGATTTTCATTTTAATGTGTATGCAAACATACTAGTTTGAAACTCACTGCTTCAGCAGTGGGGTTAGATGCATGGGCAGTAATTTGCATTATTTTAATGTTTTAATATTTTAATGTTTAGTTTTTACCTAAAACCTACCCCATTGAGAGGTGATTTAATAATGTGGATTTCATACAGTGAAATGCTTGAACCCTTTCAAAGCAGATCTAGTTCACAAACAACTGACAGTCCTGATCTATGATTTTCATTTACAATAATAAAGCTTAAAATTCACCATTAGTTACTTACTTTTTGGACTCCAAAGATCTCGCATTTCTGGTGCCTTTTGAGTAGGGATGTTCATTTCGGTTATTTTTCCTAACCGACAACCGACGCTCGTTAACCGATTGTTAACCGTTAACCGACAAGATTATTTTAAATTAAAATTAGAAAAAATAAGTGTCTGTGACCCGTTAAAAAATACTTACATTTGTTTCCCGGGGATTAATTTGACAAGCGCAAAAAGCAGCAAACAACAGAAAATGAGGATTCACATGGTCATCATATCACATCACGTACCTGCAGAGCTTCTGCGAGCGGAGAAAAACATAATATAATAAAGCTAGGCTATTTATACAGTGGGTAAGGAAAGTATTCAGACCCCCTTAAATTTTTCACTCTTTGTTATATTGCAGCCATTTGCTAAAATCATTTAAGTTAATTTTTTTTCCTCATTAATGTACACACAGCACCCCATATTGACAGAAAAACACAGAATTGTTGACATTTTTGCAGATTTATTAAAAAAGAAAAACTGAAATAACACATGGTCCTAAGTATTCAGACCCTTTGCTCAGTATTTAGTAGAAGCACCCTTTTGATCGAATACAGCCATGAGTCTTTTTGGGAAAGATGCAACAAGTTCTTCACACCTGGATTTGGGGATCCTCTGCCATCCCTCCTTGCAGATCCTCTCCAGTTCTGTCAGGTTAGATGGTAAACGTTGGTGGACACCCATTTTTAGGTCTCTCCAGAGATGCTCAATTGGGTTTAAGTCAGGGCTCTGGCTGGGCCATTCAAGAACAGTCACAGAGTTGTTGTGAAGCCACTCCTTCGTTATTTTAGCTGTGTGCTTAGGGTCATTGTCTTGTTGGAAGATAAACCTTCGGCCCAGTCTGAGGTCCTGAGCACTCTGGAGAAAGTTTTCGTCCAGGATAACCCTGTACTTGGCCGCATTCATCTTTCCCTCAATTGCAACCAGTCGTCCTGTCCCTGCAGCTGAAAAACACCCCAACAGCATGATGCTGCCACCACCATGCTTCACTGTTGGGACTGTATTGGACAGGTGATGAGCAGTGCCTGGTTTTCTCCACACATACCACTTAGAATTAAGGCCAAAAAGTTCTATCTTGGTCTCATCAGACCAGAGAATCTTATTCAGGTGTTTTTTAGCAAACTCCATGCAGGCTTTCATGTGTCTTGCACTGAGGAGAGGCTTCCATCAGAGGGTAGGGGACCTGCAGGCATTTTTGGTCGACAATTCGTGCCTAGAATTCGGAACGGGTAACTCTCACGTTGTCCTGAGACCCCGGCCCGGATATGTGCCCAAAGTTCCCCCCACGCCTTTCAGGGATCAGGTGGTGAACTTGCAAGCGCTGCCCCGGGAGGAGGCAGACCCAGTCATCGCTCTGCTCTGTCCCGTTCCCGCTCTGCGCATTTACGTGGACCGTACGCGGAGCTTCAGGACCTCAGACCAGCTCTTTGTCTGCTTTGGAGGTCAGCAGAAGGGAAAGGCTGTCTCCAAACAAAGACTTGCCCACTGGTTAGTGGAGGCTATAGTCTTGGCATACCAGGCCCAACGCTAGGTGCCCATGTGTAGTGATTCCCCCTTCGGGTGATCCCACATGTGTATTGTGTATATATCCACGTAAACAAAACATTTTGTTTTACGTGGATATTGGAATGCGCGTGAAGTACATAATAAACAATAATTTGCCATTCAAATACATCGCGAATATGGAAACATTTGATTTTGTGTGGAATGAGAGACCCAACGTTGGTTTCAGTTTCGTTTTAGCCTAAATGAATTTGTTTTGGCTTGTCATTTATATTGCTATAGATTCTTATATTTTTCATTCTTATTCTTTTCTAAATACTGTTAGTTAAAAGGATTTGTTGTGGAGTGAGGGGAACTAAAATAGCCTAGCTATGTTTACAGTGTTTATCATAATGTTTGTAAACATTTCACGTTGACATTAGGCCTATTTCTGAATGAAATAATAAAATGCGACTTATACGCGACTTATGTCCCCCCCACCCCACCCCCCTAAAAAACACTTTTTTTATATAATATAGCGTATTTTAACCATGGAGCAAACCTTTTAAAATATTTTGATAAATTACTGAAAAAATAAATAATTAAATTACTTTTTAAACCATTTAACTGATTGTATTAATCGGTCAAAATTATAAACGGTTAAAATGAACATCCCTACTTTTGAGTCAAAATTGTGAATCCACTGTGTAGTTAACTGGAGACTCACTCTTACTGAATCATTTGAATCAGTGAGTTGTTGACTGGAGACTCGCTCTGACCAAATCATTTGAATCAGTGAGTTGTTAACTGGAGACTCACTCTGACCAAATCATTTGAATCAGTGAGTTGTTGACTGGAGACTCGCTCTGACCTAATTATTTGAATCAGTGAGTTGTTGACTGGAGACTCGCTCTGACCGAATCATTTGAACAGATCACCAAGATATATAATTTTGAATCAGTGAGTTGT